GGGGAGCAGAGGCAGCGTGGCTGGAGAGGAGGACAGAGGGTCCCCTCCTGAGTCGGAACCAACCCCCCCCCCCAAGAAAAGAACGAAGGCCGCTGATATATCCCAAAAGTCACAACTGCTTTGATAGCTGTACATCACTTTAAGAGGCCTTACCCCTTTTTCTTGATGGCCTTTTCAAGGATTTTCTCATAAGCTAATTTCTCTTTGTTATATTGTGCTACTATTTTGTCAACCTGCGTGCAGTGCAACTTCTGCATAATACTGTGTTCCTGCAAAACAAAAAAACCAAAAAAAAGTCTTGTCAGACATCAGGTTGGGTTATTAGGTATTTAGATGGATGTCACAGGGGTGTGGTGCTCATCTCCGTTTCCAAGCTGAAGAGCCAGCGCTGTCCGAAGACGTTTCCGTGGTCATGTGGCTGGCATGACTAGACGCCGAGGCGCACAGAACGCTGTTACCTTCCCACCAAAGCGGTACCTATTTATCTACTTGCAATTTCTTCCTTTCAAACTGCTAGGTTGGCAGGAGCTGGGGCCAGAGAAGGGAGCTCACTCCGTCATGCGGATCTCGGGTCTCGAACTGCCGATCTACCGACCTTCCGGCCTGCAGCTCTGAGTCTTAACCACTGAGCCACTACAGCCCCTGTTTTAATATATAGTTACCACTAAATGAAGCTAGTTTTTTTCTATTTAGATACCAAAATATCAAATAATTGAGGGCGACATTATACATTTTAGCATTATACATTATACAAACCCTCTTTTAACAGGCACAATCTACCCTATCGTTCCAACTTATTACTCCAAACTTCTCAAAGTGATAGATTTTTACCCCTTAGAGAAGCATTCATAGTATCCCAAAAAAGACTATGGACCCCTTAAGGACGTAAACATTTTGTCAAACTACACAGTGCATACAAACGACATACATTTTGGGTTGGAAAATTAACAGTGTAATGATAAAATCAGGAGCTTTAAAAAGCAGTAGGATTAATTTTTCCAACTCAGAATCTGCATGGTGCTATTTGGACAAACACGGGAAAAATATAGCAGAGTCGACAGTAAACTCTGCATTTCTGTACCCGCCACCTTGTTCAGGCTCAGGTTGCAACGTACCTGCTAGGGGGGAGGGGAACTCCCACCACTGCCCCCCCTTGCCTGCCCTTACCATGGAAAGTTCCAGAGGGAAATGCAGGGGCTGGAACAGTGTCCTCAGACATTGTGACATCGTTTCTGGTAATGTGACCAGAAGTGATGTCACCTTGTTATGGAGTGCTCTAGGATTTCCTGAACCACTGTGGTTTTTACCTTAGAGTTTTGTGGAAATCACAGAGCGTCCCATGACATGATGACGTCACTTTCAGCTACTTGGGACGCCCTTCCAGTGAGTCTCTGTCCCTCCTCCCAGCCTCCCAGGCTGAAGGTTTAGGCGGGGTCTCCTCTAAGCTGTGGAGTCCTGTGAGCAAAAATTCTACCAGCATTAAAGTTGTGAGCAGGCAGGTGGTTTGGCTCCTGCATCCATCAGTTTGCTCTGGACTGGAGCCCTCCTTCCTGAGCTAAGACAAAAATGTGTGAGCTGGAGGGTAGAAAAACTGTGAGCTGGCTCACACTAACTCAGCTTGGGGGGAACACTGGTCTTGCATGCAGCATGCAGAATGCCCCTGGTTCAGTCCCCAGCAATTCCCACTGAAAGGATCAGGCCCAAAGGGACGTGGAAGATCTCTGCTTGAGACACTGGAGAGTGGCTGCCACAGACAACATTATTAAAATTTTACTTATTCCAAATGTCACTGTAGATCTCCAGTCATTCTGCAGCTTCTACGTTCTACCTATTACTTAACCTACAAAGCCTCTTAATGTAACTGGACAATTTCACATTGTCTTTAGTATTAGGCAGACTGAATATTAGAAGGCAGATTCAAAGCTAATGCTTTGAAGTTCTGCCGCTAAAAAAATTTACTCGGGTTCCAAAATACATTAATGATACAACTGGGGGAACAACTCCGAGAGTCCCTGTGACTCACACCGAGATGAAAGCGCTCTTACACATTCCAATTTCAGAGGGATTTGAAAGAAAATTTTATCCAGACAGCATTAACAAACTGGCCATTTGATTTCACTGTGGGAAAATCACCTGCCTGCTCACTGCCACAGGAAGTGGTGGCGGCTACAAGCATGGACGGCTTCAAAAGGGAATTGCTAAGGCAAAAATGTGTGAGCCGGAGGTTAAAAACCTGTGAGCTAGCTCACACTAACTCATCTTAGAGGGAACACTGCCTGTGAGGTAGGCGGGGCTTTCAAGAGCTAGAAACTGGAACAGAGGGGAGGGGCCAGTTCCTCTTAAAAGACAGATTCGGGTGGGCAGCCATCTTGGTCTGAAACAATAGAATAAAGTTTGAGTCCGGTCAGGCACCTTTAAGACCAACAGAGTTTAATTCTGGGTATAGGCTTTTGTGTGCACACGAACGCTTCTACCCAGAATTAAACCTTGTTGACCTTAAAGGGGCCGCTTGACTCAGGCAGAGTGGACCAACAGCCGTGATAACAGCCCACGCCATGCTTGCTGATGTCTGAGGTTCCAGACTCACTCACACGCTGTCACTGACCAGTAGGATAAGAGACGCGCGGATGCTGCACACCGCTCAGGCCAAGACGGCCCACGGAGGAAGAGGAGGAGACCCAGGGTGCTTGCCCCCCTCCCCCCGCCACAAAGACCCCTCTTTTCCACCGCCAGTTACACCCTGAGGCTGGAGAAGGGGGGGGGGGGAAGAGGGATCTCCTGGCCTCTCTCAGCGGCCAGAAAAATAAGGGCGGTATGTGTGGGGGGGTCTGCTGCCTCCGTCCAATCTAGGCTACTCAGAGAGGGAAGATCTCCCTCACCCACTTGTGTATAAATCCCGGCAAGCTGATTTCCCCTCCCCACCCCTTGAGGGTCTCGGTCATAAGCAGTGTTCCCTCTAAGCTGAGTGAGTGTGAGCCCAGCTCACAGTTTTTTAGCTTCCGGATGACACGTTTCTGTTTTCACTCAGGAAGGATGGGGCTCCAGAGCAAACTGATTCACCGCCAAATGGCTCGCTCACAACTTTAGTGCCCGTAGCTCACAAAGTAGAATCTTTGCTCACAGGACTCCACAGCTCAGAGGGAGCCTTGGTCATAAGCCCGGGGGCACAGAGCCTCTCTCTGCGGTTACTTAAGGTGATGGAAAGTGGGATATACATTCAATAAACTTGACAAGTACAGATACATTTGTAGAGTTTGATGAATAAGTGCCCAAGGCACAAGACGAATTGCTGTGATACCCAATAACAACAACCGTGTCCCATAATTTTGCCACTGGTCACAACATTTTTCTGTCTCTGCTCCCTTATCCCCCCCCCCAAAAAAAAAGAATTAAAGGAAAGCATCCCAACATGAAACTTGTTTTAAAAAACCACCATACCTTTCCATGCCTCTTCTTTAAAGCGTTCAATTCCTTTTGCTGTTTTTTCATATGCTTTATATAGGCCTGTTCCCCCAAACAGAACATAACAAATATATTAGTTTCCATTCACAATGCTCAGCTTCATAAGCACCCTGAGAAAGACACCCTGCCCAGACTGTTTTGGCTTAGAGATACATTACGCGCCAATTACCCATGTCACCCAAGTTGGGGGTACACATGTGCCCCCCCATGCAGGAATTCATTGTGGACCCCTACGCCACTGGCTTCCTGCAGTCTGTTGGGTGCGTGTGGTCTGGAGGAAGGAGCCCTTTGCCCATGCCAAGCAGTTCTGATTCATCTCACCTTCTTCCAGGGAAGAAGAGGAAGAAGAAGAGGAGGAGGAGGAGGAGAAGGAGGAGGAGGAGATTGGATTTATACCCCACCTTTTCTCGGAGTCTCAGTTTGGCTTACAATCTCCTTCCCTCCCCTCCCCACAACAGACACCCTGTGAGGTGGGTGGGGCCGAAAGAGCTCTTCTGAGGACTGCTCATGAGAGAATAGCTCTGAAATAACTTGTGACTGACCCAAGGTCACACCAGCAGCAGCACATGGAGGAGGAGCGGGGAATCAAACCCGGTTCTCCCAGATTAGAGTCTGCGCTCCTAACCAATGCTCCCTCTAAACTGTGGAGTCTTGTGAGCAAA